GATCGGGTGCCGGAAACGGAAAAAAAAAAAAAAAAAAAAAAAAAAAAAAAAAAAAAAAGAACAAATTAACTTTCCAATTATATTCAAAATAGTATAACATGTATATTACATGTCTTTCTAACATGTAATTTAAAGCTCTGTGCCTAATGCTTGCTTTAATTTCCTTAAATAAGAAGTATCCTATACTTTTAATTGAAATAGAAACCTAGTGTTAACATTTCATTTACTTCCAATGTACAAGTAGATGTGGAATTCAAAGTTGCTAGATACATGGGTTTTATATAAAAGTTTAGATTTTAAAAAATATTCAGTACAGTATAGGCCAGTTGAAAATACAGCCTCTGAAAAAGAACTTCTGAATATTCTCCCTTTGCAGTAAAGTTAGAGAGCTATTCTGCTGGAAAAAAATTGTATCTTTCAAAACTATCAATTATAGGGTTTCATCACCTTCATAACATAATCTCAAATACCAAACTTACTAATACTATTGCTTTCAGTAGTTGAGCAAGGCAGAGTCCCCTCTTTAAGTGATGAGGGAGTTATCTTAGTAGGTTAGATGTTTGAAGGAAAACTTCATCATTGCCTAGAGCCTAGTAAATGGAGCTCGAGAGGAGCGTACTGATTCTTTTGCAGCCAACACATGAACAGGAAAAATGAGTCATGATCTCTGTGAAGTCAACCTTAGAATTTCCTCTTGGAAAGTCAGATGAAGCAGGGAATCATTAAACTTCACCCTAGCAGCAACTCTAGAAGATGCCTTTGGCAGACTGAGCAGCTCCCTCCCATACCAAGTGGTGGCAAGATGCCTTGAGTCCTTGTGTGGCTTAGTACTGGTTTGTTTCTCTTGCTGCTTCTGCTTTAGTCACCTCCTGGAGGGCACTCTGAGCAGAACAAAGGGCATATCATTCGTGCCATGTACATATGCAATAGAATATTAAAGGTTTGGCATTTCAAATTAGATTCCACTTGATCTGATGGCAATGACATGCTCATATAGAAGTCTTTTGTTTGGCCTGTTTCCTGTTTAGTCCAATCTTACATTCAAGAATTGTTATAATTATTGTTCTATTAATTATTATAAGAATTGTTACAACCAACATCACTTAGTAAAGTGATAGATTTTACACTCCAGCTCTTGATTTTTAGCATCTCTACAAATGTGCCAAGTTCTTTAGAGAAAATATGGAGCCAAATGTTTCCTAGAACCCATACTTCAATTAACTCTTCTATCTTTTAGGAACTGGGTAATGAATGGAATTATAGGTGCTTTGTCTCATTTCCTTGAAGTGATGTAATTGCATATGGCTCTGCTCTTCTTTTCTCCAAGGTTCCAGGTCAGAGCTTTGAAACACAGCTTTATTTTGGAGCTGAATACATATTGTAACTTTCCACTGCTTCTTCAGGCTGAAATGATATATATTTTTAAAGAATTCCATGTGTACAGTACTTAATATAATCTTACCTCATAACTGAAATACACACCTGCTATTGCAATGTGACTTTTTCTGTTCTTTTTTTTTTTACTTTTATCTTGTGATTGTGTTTGTGTGTGATGTAAGATATGTTCCTTGTACACTATTTAAAAAGTACCTATGAAATTAAAAAGAAAATAATCACTTATAATCCCATAGTTCTCAACTTTACTGTTAATATTTTAATATACTTCCCTGTGTATTGAATTATTAAGTATTTTATGTATGTTTCAGCTGTATACCTACATATATTCACTCACTCTAGACGATACAAAAATGAAATAGCAATAATCCTGCTCTAAAGGATCTAGTAGACAATTAAGTAAAATAAAATATCGTTAGAGAAAGAAAGCAGTAAGTAATTAGAAAGCAGCATATAATTTGCAGTGCAAATTCAGGAGCAAGAGAAATTCTCTTTGGGGAATATAGGGAAGTTAGCACCCTTTTTAAAGTTCATTGTAAAATCATGATCTTTCTAACACTTCATGCACCCAGTGGCCTCAGGAATAAGGGGCTGTAGATACAGATATAGGTTGTATTTCCTGTGCCTAGCACAGTAGCAGGTACAGAAAAGGAACTCATGAAATATTTGTTGAATATACAAAGGAGTGAACCAAACTTTCCACTTTTGAGCAAGTAACCATTTAACTATTACGTGCTTGGGTACAGGAAGGTGCTGTAAACGACTGGCCCATTTGAGTTCATTTGGGCTTGAATTCACCCCCCAACCCCCACCTCGTCCTCTGGCAAGTCCAGGCAAGCCCACATCTAGGCAAGAACATAGAGCAGGGGAAGGCGAACCACAGACACTTCAGATGGCCTCAGGTCCCAGCGTTGCCCCTCCTGGTGCTGTCTGATGCTGCCTCCTCAGGCTGCAGATCCCGTCCACCTGCTCAGAATAATTCCAACTTCCTAGGGTCTTCTGTCCCTGTTCAGCTTAGATCTGCCATGCTATTTATTTCTCCAGGACTTAATTGCTGACCTATCTAATTCCCTGTCTCTCGAGCTCCACTCTATCTGGACAAAATGCAAAGGTAAATAACCAAACATTAAATATATGATCTTATTTCATACACAATCTAAGTCAATAAGCTGGGGCCCTAGGGCCTAGTAGTGACTGCAGGACTCCTTCCGAGGAAAGTACATATATTTGTTATGACCATCTTCTTCTCAAGTTATAGTTTATTATGTTCTACCAAAATTATGTGAACACCCAAAGTAAGACCTCGAGGTTTCAAGACCTGTTATTTTTTCTTTCTTCATAAATCCTCTCCATCTCTGCTATTCATGACCTCTCTGTTATCCTCCTCCCAAGCTTTTGAAAAAATGAGTTCAGACCCTTAAATCTACCACGTCTTTATAATTTAGGAGATTTTCACAAGGGCCCTACTAGGTTTTAATTTGCTATGAATCATGGTGAATGGAAATAGAGAAGTGGGGAGGGGAAACTATTTGAATTCATAGACCTATGCCTCACTTTGGCAACTAATAATAAAAATGAGACTTTTGCCAAATTGTATTTTTATTTTTCATGTATTTAAACTGCTTGAGTATTTTACTCAGCCAATTTTTAGATCAGACATAGCCAAGATTATTTCCTATTCAATTGTCATATACTGCTTATGAACAAAAACTTTATCCTGTTTTCATTTTCTTCCATTAAATTATATTCAACTGTCTTCCAAATGTCAGAAAATATGTAAGGGCCTTTGAAATCCTTTCATCACATCTTCTGAAATCTGAAGGTAGCTATGACTTACTTCATCATAGATCATATGTTTAACCACATAATTACATAGCCATTGTTTGCTTTCTTTAATGATATTTTTGGGCTTTTTCATGAATACAGATAGAGAGGGAATAGTGATTCTTCAGCCCATCACTTCAAATATTCATTTTGTGATCATAAGAAGCTTCCATCAGTGGTTCTTCTGTTTGAAATATCCTCAGTGTCTGGTGAGGCCTTCTGTCTGGTTCATAGGTGGTGCTTTCTAGCTGTGTCCTCATGTGGTGGAAGAGGCAAGGGTCTCTTTCATAAGGGTCTTAGTCCCATTCATGATGGATCCTCCTTCATGACCTAATTATCTCCTGAAGTTCCCACTTCTTAATTCTATTGCATAGAGATTAGGTTTCAACATATGAATTTGGGGCAGTGAGGGGTGGGGGCGGGCGATACACAAACCTTTATAGCACAGGGCAACCAGGTAGGAGGCTGATGCAGTAATGAAGGAGAATCAAGGAGAGAGATGATGGTGGCGTGGCTTGGTTTGGGTGGCCGCAGTAGAAATCGAAGCTTTTAAATTCAGATTACATACTGGAGGTATAGTCAATAGGGCTTACTTTTGGACTGGAATCTGCTTATGATGAAAGAGGAAAAAACAGGACTAAGTCTTAGTTTTGGTGCCTAATTGGGTAGATGGGAAAGAATTGTGGAGAAGGAAATTCTGGAGCATGAGAGAAAGTCAGTGGTTCTGTTTCAGCCATGTTGAAATGCCTGGTAGACGTCTAAGTAGAGATTAAGTAGGTGGTGACATGAGTCTGGAGCTCAGCAGAGCCTGAGCTAGAGATGGCTTAGATTGCCTGGAACAAAGTATAGATGGAGGAGAAAGGATGGTCACGAATGAACTACTTAACCAAGCCAGCATTTAGTTATCATATAGAGGAGGAATCAGAAGAGGATACTAAAATTTGGAAGCCTGTGAGATACCAAGAAAATAGAGCAAGATTGTTATTGTTTTTTCAAAAGCCTCAGGAAAAAAGTGTTTCAAAGGGGGGTGGGAGGAGATCGATCTTGTGAAATGCTCTTAAGGCAGAGAAGATGAGAAGAGAAAATGAATTGTTTTGCAAGGTATAGGCCATTGGAATGTGGGAGGAGAGATGCAGGGAGAGGTGAATTGAAGGAGTAGACGGTGAATAATCTAGATCCAGGAGGGAGAAGGTTGTGCTTGGACCCCATGGTCATCACTAAGGGATCTCACTAGGGAGCCTGAATAATCCTTGTGTGGGTTATTAGAATGACAACATCTAGGGGGGAACTCAGGTTTTTGAAGCTAGAGCAAGTGCTGTGTAACCAGACAGCCCAGACTAAATCCTGTGAATGAGTAACTGGGATTAGTTGGGCTCATGGAGCATGCTGTGTCTCCATTCCAGGGCAGGCTAAAATGCCCACAGGGCTTCTCATCTATAGAATTACTTTGCCTGATTGGCTAAGCTTCTGTCTCTTCTGGCCTGAGTCTGCATGTGTCCTCCATGAGACAGAATCTTGCCAATGATGTGGTATCAAAAAGGATAATGTTCCCAACTAGAGGAGCACCATTCTTTGAGTAAGGGGATAGCAGTACAAAAGGAAATAAGGCATAAATCAATAATGACAATACAAGGTGGAAAGAAAAAGTGGAATCACAGCAATGTAGATTTAAAAAGGCTATGGGGAGACTCACAAGGGTCCCACCTGATTGAGACTAGAAGAAAGCAGAGATGTGGAGCTGCTGCATTGAGGGCGCTCCGGTGGGAGGGGAATGGTGAAGAGTCTCAGTTATGTGAAATTCCATTAGAGTGCAAGGCTTGGTGTTGAAGAAAAGCTTCAGTTTTGAGTTTGGTTGGTATTGCTGAAAGTCTGAATGTCCAGTTAAGGGACTTACACTGTATGAAGATTTTCTAAGAATAAGATCCCAGGAAGGTTTGTGACCAGGAAGGTGATGTGATGGTCAGAATGATAAAAGCCAAAAGGGAGACTCCAGTTAAGTGTTCAGTTTAGAGACTACTACAAGATGACTGGTGAGATAACAAAGTGCTATAAGGAAAAAGTTGCATCAGAGATTTCATGAGAAAAGCCAAATATTTTTTTCCTTTTTTTTTTTTCCCTCTAGTATTCTGGTGAAGTAGGACATAAAATGTCTTTTATTCATCTTATCTAACCAAAATAACTTCAATTGAAAGAAGGAAAAAGAGGAAATCTCCCCACACCTAATTTTTTTTTTCTTTAAATTTTAGAAAACTGAATTTTTCTCTCCAGTCAACCTTTTTATTCTGGCTATATTCCCTATGATTCTATAGGCTTGGAGCAATAATCATTAAATATTGAACTTCTACAAAATGGAATGACCAGAAAATATTATACTTAAAATCTCTGGTCATACTCTAATGCCATTTCTATGAACTTATAAAAGAGGAGATTATTCAGTCTGGCTGCAGTTTCTACAGCCTGAAGGAGACTTGAAGGATATTCCATCATATTTAATCAGCCCTTCGAGTCACAGCTTGATTTTAGCTGCCTGGAAACTTGAAGTCGTGCTCACCTGACTGGGGCAAGGGTTCAGCCAGTTTAGGCTGAGTTGTGCAACAGAGGAAATATGATCCCTTGCTCAGAATCATACATATTTACAGAATTATATTTCTCTTTTCAGAAATACATCAAAAACAGACTTGCCCAATCCTTCCTTGCCTGGAGCCACTGTTTCTGTAGTTCTTCAATTTACATAGTACATTGTTCTGTTTTGCTCACACATGAAATACCACTTAGAAACTCCCCCAAATATTCTTTTACACTAGAGACACAACAAAATATTCAATTTAAATCAGAAACTAATGTGAGAATGCATCCCAGAAACAAATCATTAATGTTATTCTAATGTTAGGGTATCTTCAGACCATCTCAGAAAGGGGAGAAAGATGACTATGACAGCTCACCAGTACCCTTCTTGGATCTTCCTCAATGAAAGGACGTTCATAACCAGGTAACCACACACCTATGTTATATGTTATCGTACTCACTAGTCACTTGTGGAATGTACCATTCAAAGTTTTCTAAGTATGATATGTGATCAACAGCCTCAATCATAGGAATTGCCAGTTGAAACACTGGATAAGTTGAAAAAGTATGTTCCTAAAGACTGCTGAACCATACCCTCTCGTGGAACAATCGCCCATATTTTGTTAAGAGTGGTTTAATTTCACTTAAAAGCTACATTTCTGTTTTAATAGCTGGGACAGTTCTGAAGAGCAGCAATTAGTGAAGGATCTAAGGCTTCTTATAAATGAAACACTGAAAGAATTAGCCAAGGGCCAAAAACAGTGTGTCCTGTCCTTGCCTCTCCCTCCCCTGCTCCTCATGACACACTCTGTTTTACCTGGTTCACTCTTGACATTAGGTTATGCAGTATATGGCCAACATCCACAACTCTTTTCTTATACACAGAAAATAGCATCTTATGTTGCTTTGGGAATAATAGAGTAGGGGTGTAAAACCTGTAAGAGTAAAGATAAGAACTGAACCTGGCCGAGCTAGAGCAGAGACTAAGGAGGGGAAAGATGAAATAGTAAAATTCCAGTTGGTGCTGGAACCTAGCCCAAGTCTTACAGAGGGTGGCGAAAGAAATAAAGCCAAATAAATGAGAGAAGAACATGTATGTAAATGATGTAGGGTTGAGCAGTAGGAAAGCAGAGGGAACAAATATGGTCAAAAATGGAATTGAAGCCACAGCTAGAGGATGAGAATGAAATATAAGGGTGAAAAGGAGACATGAAGCAGAAAATAGATGATGCATTTATTCATTCCTCAAATACTTACTGACTGCTCACCATGGACAGGTACTCCTGTGGACCCTGAGTGCTCAGCAGTGAATCAAACAAAACCTTACTCTCAGGGGGTTACATCCTAAAGAGGAGATACAGTCAATATTTAAGATAAATGCTGAAAGGTACGAAGAACAAAAATAAAGGAGAAAAGGATAAAGAGTGCTGGGGGTAGAGAGTGGGAAGGGTTTTAATTTCAAGTTAGACGGTCAGGGAAGTCCTCAGTGAGGAGGTAGCATCAGAGGAAAAACCTGAAGGAGGTGAGAAAGGAGGCCATGCAAGCACCTGGCTGGGGGCATTCCAGGCAAAGGGGACAGCAAGTCCATATCCCCAAGGCAGGTGCATATCTTTAAGGGTGAAGGAGGCCAGTGTAGGAAAACTGAAGGAGAAAGACAGTAGGAGAAGGTGAGAGCAGAGACAAAATGGAGCCAGAACATGCGGGTTTCATAGGCCATTATGAGACTTAGTCTTTCCCACTAAATAAAATGAGAAGCCATGGAGGGGTATTGAGCACACGAGTGACAACATCAATCTGGCTGCTGTGTTAAGAACAGATTGAAGAGGGGACAACACTAGAAATAGAGAAACTATGAAAAAGCTGATAGTCCAGAGTAGAGGTGATGGTGGCCTGAACAAATGTGGAGGTGGGGGAAAAATGGTCCGATTCTGGATACATTTTGAAGGAAGAGACCATAGGATTTCCCGAAGGGTTAGACATTGGATGAGAAAGAAATACTCAGGGATAATCCAAAGGATTTGGCGGTAGAAGAATGGAGTTAACATGTTCTGATATTATGAAGACTATAGGAGGAGCAGGTTTGGGATAGAAGATTGGGATTTCAATCCCGGACATTTTACACTTGAGATTGAATGAGATCTCCAAAGTAATAAGCACAAGTGAGAAGATTCGAGGTGTAAGGTTAGGTAAGAGTGAAGCGAAGTAGGAAATGTAGGAAAGAAGGCAAGGCAGAGGTATGTTGGGTGAAAAGTGAGCAGAGTGAATGTAGAGACTGAGCAGAGAGGAAAAACAGTTATGTAGTGGGTAAAATATATAGAGAAGACACCACTTTGGAATATCAAGGTAACGGAAGCATTGATGGAGATACAAAGAGAAGAGGAAAGTTGAGGAGATGGGAAGATGAAACACAAGACTGAGAAATAAATAAATAAATAAGCACAGGTAACTGACGATGAAGGCCAGTGAAGAAAACATCCATGCGGAACAAAAGGAGAGGGACAGAAAGTGCTGGAGAAGGGTGAGAGATCGTCCCCTTACCACATTTGCCTCCTCCCAAGAGGACTACAGAAGGAAGAGAAGCATCTCCAAAGAGAAGTGTCTACACCAGTGCTCTTCTTGTCTATATGCCTTCTGTGCAGTTTAAGTTTAAACTACCAGGAAAACAAATTTACCACACTAGGAGGAAAGTTCAGAGGAGAGACAATCCACAGCATTAGGGAAGAATGTACCAAGCTGTGCATGTACTTCCCTGTTACTCGATGCTGCTTAACTCAGTTCAGCTCACGAAGTCATGATTCCATCTCGCCCTGCCAGTGCACTGCTAGACCACTCCGAGGACCCCCCTCTCAGTCTGGGGTTACAACCTAGGTGTACCTCAGCTGTGCACAGCAGCTCTTTACCTCCAGATTCCTGCAGAAGTGAGGGCTTTCCTTGCTCAGTTCTTTAGACCTTCCCTTACAAAAAGATTAGAAGACACTCTAAACAAGCACCAGTTGTCCTCAGTAGCAACCTATAGGCCATGGTCCATGAACGATGACCTCTCTCCCCTGACAAAACTTCAAGAGAAATGTGCTGGGGAAGACCAGGTATCCATCCTGACTCTTATCTGCTCTTAGGGCACTTCCTTCTCTTGCTAATCCAGGTCATTTGTATACGTGTGTTTCTATTTATTCTCTAGGTTCCTCATGTTCCTTGAATCCTTGGTTTCTCCAGAACAGCTTCATCTTTCACATTTATAGAGCTACTGATTCTGTTCTAAACAGATTTATACCAATCTCATTTGTGGCCATGACCAAGCAGTGGTACCTTCTTATCCTGGATCACCATATTGCCCTCTTTTGTTCATCTCTGTAATACAGAATGAACTTATGTACTGATTTTCACTGAAACAGACATCTACTCCATTCACTGGTGTCACCAAGTCACCTAGTTGTTTCCTTTGTAATATTTTAGTTTCCCAATCTTAGTACCTCCCTTTTCCCATGAAATCCTCCTGAGCCTCGGTAAGATTTTAATTAGCCCTCATTAATTACTTGTGTATTTGTTCTTTAAAAATATTTCTTTTCTAGTTATAAAAGTGTAATTATTTTATAGGTTATATCTTACATGTTTACATTATATATATTCATATAATTATAAAATTATAATTAGAAAATTTAGAAACACATACATTAAAAGAATAACAAGTATCCATACTCACAACTCAGAAAAAAAATACAGTTTAATTTTGGCATATTCCCCACCTTGCAAGGATTCCATTTTACAAAGCTGAAATCACACTGTATCTTGTTTTACACACTTGGCATTATATTACAGATATTTCCCCACACCACTAAAAAATCTTCTAAAAATGATTTTAATGACATTGTAGCATGCAATGATATAGAAGCGCCATAATAAAATCATTCCCCTAATTTCAGTCTTCAAGATGGCTCCAAATTTTTGAATACACAGGGCTAGTTCACAGAAGTAGAATTACTAGATCAAAGTGTACAAATAAATGTAATATTATTGCTACAAATTAGCTTTCTAAAAAAATAACAGCTTAGGGCTTCCTGGCCTGTCTTTATTGTTTCCTGCATGGATGCTTGGTTTTCCAGGGTCGACTGTAAACCCTTTGAGGGTAAGATCTAAGCATCTTTTGCATACTGTTTCCCAAGGTGGGGTATATCTAGATGACTTTGATTCATGAGATGATTTTAGATAAAACATAGATGATCATTTTTTCGTTTGAACACTTACGGAAAGTATTAGGAAAATATAACTAACACATACAATCTTTGATTTCACAAATATTTTCTCAGGACAAATTAGAAAAATATTGACAACAGTTGATTCTTTGAGTTGATCTAAATCAGGAAAGCAGTGCATGAATAATTAGTTTGAAAGCACTGCGATAGCCCTAAGCCAGAATGTATTAATCCTTCCTACAAAATATCCTTAAAGCCAGAACTCTGTAATATTTTTTAACCTCCAAAAGTATTTTCATAAATTGTTTCTAGTAGTCAGCAATATAAGAGAAAGAAAACTAACAAATTTGGAGACCCTATATGTATTCCAATTTTATTGTTTGTCTGCAGGAAAATATCTCACAATGAAAACAAATATTTTTTAGAAGATATTTCTAAAGAAGTTTCTGAGATTCCATTGATGCTTGTTTTGTGTTATATTTTGAATTGACAGAATGGAGGATTTTTAGTTTCTTTTCTATAATCCAGAGTCCCTCTGAGGCCTCAGTATCCATGTATTAACTGGAGCTCAGAATAGTGAAGTAAAATATTGTAGCAGCATAATTACACAAACACCAGATTCGAAGATAGCATTTCTCAAAATATATAGTCCATGGACCACCTGCTTCTGAATCAGATGCTTGTTCACAATGCAGATCCCAAGTTCTACCCCAGAACTAGTCAGGTGATTCTGATGCACACGGAATTCTGAGGACCACTGCTCAGAGGAAGAAAGGATTAAAGTTCTGAGAACTTCTGACCTGATATAAAAAAAATTCCAGAAACCTTAGAGAAATCTCTGCAAAACTGTCACAAGAAATTATAACAATACCACTGACCGACTATGATATCCAATGAAGCACAAATCTGGCAAACACCCACTCATTCATTCACTTAATAAGCAGTTTTTCCATTCTTTCTCTTTACTAGGCATTGTTGTGTCAAACATGACAAAAATTGCCTATTTATTAAGGTATTTTTATTTTTCTGCACAGAAATACATGAAAAGAATGGAAATTAATAGTAAAATAGAACCTGCATAATTGAAATTTTGGTTTCAGCAAATTTTATGAGAAGTATATTTTTTCAATAAAATAAGAGGTCCTGATATTAATAGAACAATAGGCAGCAAAACATTTGTGTCTTACTACTGGATGAAAATTGTGAGTTTAGAAACTTCCTTCATCAAAGGGTA